CATCCACCCCTTCCCTTGTACTCTCTTTCTCCCTTCCCTCCCTCCACCAGAGCCCCCGGCCGACATGGCCAAGTCAGTGCTGTACCTGGGCTGGGGCGTGAGCAACAGCGGCCGTTGGGACATGTATCGTCATAATTCAACCGCCTGCCCCGTTCCTTCTCCTCCCCTCTCCTTCCTCTCCTCCCTCCAGAGCCCCCGGCTGACATGGCCAAGCGGGTGCTGTACCTGGGCTGGGCGGTGTGCAACAGTGGCTGTTAGCGCGCACATGCTGATAGATAGCCCAGTCACATTTTCACTCCTTCCCCTATACGTTCTCTCCCTCCCTCCACCAGAGCCCCCGGCCGACATGGCCAAGGCAGTGCTATACCTGGGCTGGGGCGTGAGCAACAGTGGGTGTCGCGACGTGGCCTCTCCCTTCTCCAACGTGCTGCCCGCCTTGCAAGCAGCGGCCGACACCGTTCGTCTGCTAGCGCAGGCGCGGCTGCAGAAGATGCCGACCAGCATAGAAGAGGACGAAGCGATCCTGAGGGAGCTGGAACGGTGCAAGAGCGGCGGGAAGGCGGGGGCGGGTGGTGGGGAGGGGGTGAAGGGCGGAAAACTGGGGAAGGAAGGAAAGAAGAAGCCAGCACAGAGCAAGCAGCAGCAGAAGGCAAAGCTGACGAGCCTGGAAGAGGAAGTTTCTGCGAAGCGACTCAGCCGGCGCCGGCGCCGGCGTGCTGTTAGCGAGGGGAGGATCAGCGGTGACTACAGCGATGATGACAACAGCGAGAGTGACAACAGCGAGGAGGAGGAGGGGATGGATGCTGATTTCAAGAGCAGGAGCGAGGAAGAGGAGGTGTTAGACTGTGATGCGTGGCAGCGAGAGCAGGCCAGCGGGGAGAGCGAGGAGGAAGGCAGTGGGTCGGAGAGTGGGAACAGCGGCGGCGGTAGTAATGGGGGTGCAAAGAGGCTGACTGTGATGGGGGTGCGGTGTGGGTGTGAGGCGCTGAGGGCGGAGGCGGATGAGCGGATGGTGGCGGTGCGGTTCCGGAAGACCAAGAAGGCGGTGCTGAAAGAGGTGATAGACCGGCTCAAGAAGGCCTGCCCTGCCTCCGCCACTGCTTTCCTCTAGTTTCCCCACTGCGCTGAGGCCGGAGGCGGATGAGCGGATGGTAGCGGTGCGGTTCAGAAAGACCAAGAAGGCGGTGCTGAAAGAGGTGATAGACCGGCTCAAGAAGGCCTGCCCTGCCTCCGCCACTGCTTTCCTCTAGTTTTCAGACGTCTCAAAACTCGGTGTGGATCACGAGGGCCAAGGAGGAGGTGCTGAACCAAGTGGTGGACGGCTCAACAGGAGCTGCCCTGCCCTGCCCTGCCCTGCCTCCCCCACTGCTTTCCTCTGAAATCCATCTCTGACCTCTCTCGTGATTCCACATCTTGATTCCTTGTCTCGGTTCTTTGTCCCCATCCCTCACCTGGGCTTCGTTTTGAGACTCGTTTTGAGTCGGTGGGTGAGGCAAGAGGTGCAAGAATGTCGACCCGTCCCTCCCTGAGCCTCGTGCATTGTACGCAGCTAGGATGGTTCACTTGTGAGAGCAACACTCTAGTGCCAAAATAAACCTCGTTTTTTCAAATACGTCGTCTGGTGCAAGGGGGACACAGTTGCTTACGCATAGCTTCATTTGTTGTTTGATTGCTCTCAAGAAGAACATTGTCTCAACCTTGCACATGGGGTAAAAAAAAAGATTATGTGCATCTGAGCTTGATCAAACATGAGGCATTTAGTGTCATTCCAATCTCATTCACTCTGAGACATGTCCATGTCATCGCAATGCTGAAAAGGATGTTAACTTAAACAATTATATGATGGACGACATTGATAAGGTTACAACAGTAGTACATGCAATTGAAAAGCTGTGCTAGGTATTCAGCACATCCCGTAATCGCACCACCTTGAAAGCAGACTAATTTCGCGAGAATTGCTTTACAGATGGTGCAGCCATTTCGAAATCCTCGTTCCGAATTTCATCCAACATCCCCCTGTGTTTCGCGAGTTCGCTGACAGATACCCGTGTTGGTTTTCACGCCCAAGCACCTGAAACCAGAACCTGGTTTTTTGTGACGAAGGCAAGTTCATCACCTTCCATCGACTCGCACGATTCGCCACTCTCAGACTGTGGCTTCGAGTCCGACTGCTCTGACTCCCTCACGATCAGTCGCTTGATGAACGGCGGGAAGAACGGCCACAGTCGCTGCTGCAGCTCAGGCAGCCGCCAGTCGTCGCTCGTGACTACCCCGCGGCAGATCGACGCGCCGCAGTGGCAGCGGAAGTTGTCGCTGCTGGTGAGGATGACGCCGGCGTTGGTGCTACCGTAGTCGATGCTCATTTCCTCGCCTGGCGCGATGTCCCGCAACGCCACCACCGTCACCGAGTCTTCCAATCCGCAGTTTGGGTCGCACGAGTGGTTGATAAAGTCGGGCGTCTCGGGCCCACGCGTCGGATGCGGCACCTGCCAGAGGTCGTCGTTGACTCGCAACGAGAGCTCCCTCGTGCGTTCGTCGCTTCCCAGCAGATAATCGAGGCCGACAAGCTTGCCGGCGAAAACGAGAAGCGGTTCCCCGCGTCGGATGCTCGACAATGCGAACATCCCCTTGGAGCCGTCCGCGCCGCCCTTGTAGCGAGGAACCACGCGCGGGTCGTACCACCCCGACTCGGCCATCTTCCGCTCTATGTAAGACGAGCATTGGCCGGCGAACCGCCGTTGCCAGTCGCGCGAGCGCCACTCGGTGAATGTGAGCGTGCCGCGGCAGCACGCGGCGCCGCAGCGGCAGTGCAGGCCGGCGTGCATGCTACCCTCCGTCTCCGTGCAGGCATAGTCGTACGTGACGTGCTCGCCCGGGCGAATGTCGCGCAAGGCGACCATGCAAGTAGGGGTAGCGTACCATGTGTTAGGGTCGCACGAGTGGTTGTAATAAAAGCTCGGATCTTCGTCGGGGTCGGTTACCGTGTCGTACATGTCGTCACCGACCATGTACGAAAAGTGAATCATTGTCTCGCGCTTCTCCTTATCGGGTTCCGCTGATAAGTCAAGGGCGTGGTACACTCGCCGCGCAGCGGCCTCTTCTTCGTCCCACTCGCAAACGACCTCGCCTTGTGCGATTGAGCTGCGCGCGAACAGCCCGCGGCATTGGAAACCGTAGAGCTGGTGCTCTCGCACGACGATGTGCGGGTGGAGACCCATGATGATGCAGGAACGAGAACGGTTGGACGCTTCGGAAGCTTGCAGTCTGATGACGGGAGGAAATGGTGCGCTGAATTAGTTCTATCGTTGCATGAAAGTTGAGACTGATCCAAAACGCCGTGAGATGCTGTCTTTATGGAAGGAGGCGCGATACACTGAACGAAGGCAGGAGGCCCTCAAGTGAGGTGAGACGAAGGTGAGGTGAAGGAACTCGAAGTCGATCACTCAACAAATATCGTTCGCGTTCCAAACGAAGGTCGGCCCCATTCGCCCAACGAAAGGCTGAGGTGATGGAATTGGAAGCCAATCACCCTCCTAGTATGATCGCGTTCCAGACTATGGTCCTGTTCGATAGGAAATTGGCAACCATGCTCCCACCATTGTTCTCGCCCAATGGTGGGAGTAAAACGACAAAACACAAGTTGCGCGTCAGCGCCGGCAGCGTAATCATTGGCGCCGACTCTTGGCCGACTTCGTTCACCAAGTCTAACGGCCGAGTTGTGCGAAAACGATGCCTCAACAGGCCGATTGATGGAAACATGAAGAGTTTTTTTTCTGACCCGGGCCCTGGCGGATCCATGGTCAGCGTCAGAGAAAGTACCGAACCCAAAATGTTGAGTCGAAAAAACAAATAGAGTAGTGCAGATCGGTTCCAAATCGTGTGAGTGGTGTCGGAAGGTTTTGGCATAACACTAGTTTATACCTATTGTTTGTAAAAACTATCCCTAAATAGCCCCTTCTCCTGAAAGTAGAAATGGCAATGGTGTCACAACGGTGGGGCGTTTTGCCCGAGAGGAGCTGTGATGCCGCTGTAATGATTACGCCGGCAGTCACTTTTAGGGTGCGCTTTGGGGTGTGGAACACTGTTCGACTTCCCGCCTTGTTTTAGCGCGAGGGCGGGAAACTCGAGTCATCGCAGGATTTTCGTTCGCGCGGGCGGGAAATCAAGCTCATCGCACGGGGGTCGCAACACTCGCATGGAGTCGTAGACCCTTTCCCGCCCATTTTCTCCCACCTTGGGAGAGATTTTACAGTTGGGGACACCCTGCTATCGAACAGGGCCTATGATCGCCCCCATCTGCCCAGAACAAAGGTAGAGGCTCCTCAAGGTGAGGTGAATTGTGGCCCTGTTCGATAGCGAGGGTGACCCCTCCAGAAACGCTTTGAGGTGACCTTGTTCGTTGGGCGGGAAACGGTTTGCGACCCCATGCGACGAGCCATAATTCCCGCCAGCGCGAACGACCCCCCTGCGATGTCCTTGGTTTCCCGCCCAACTGCTAAAACATGGCGGGAATTTTAACGGGGTAGTTTGACACCACAGCGCGCAGAAACAGTGACTGTCGCCTAATCATTACAGCCCATCCCTGGTAAAATTTCAGACCATTGGGGGGGCATTGCCAATGTTACTTTTCAAATGACTGGCCCCAATGCCAGACCAATGGGCTATTTAGGTGTAGTCGCGCCAAACAAAAGGTAAAAACCAGTTGCACGAAAAATAATTTCGACACAGCTAACTAATTCTGGAACCGATCTGGAATACTCTATATATTTTCAGCACAAACATTTGGGTGCGATTTTTGTTTTTACGCAGACCGTCGAGCCCCCGGGCAGACCCCGCGGCTGGAAACAGTCCGCTTCAAAGGGCCGTTGAGGTGGAGCTTTTTGACCACCTCGGCCGTCTTTGGGTCGGCCATAATGATTAGACTGCCGGCGCTGTCCTACCACTTGCATTTTTTCGCAACCCTCAACCAAACCAAATGGTTGCATCACCCCAGCCCCAGGAGCTATCGAACAGGGCCACAAAAGTCGATAACCACCGAAGTGATTGACTTCCGATTCCATCTGGTACGTTTCTTGTACATTCTTTGCGGTCTAATCTGTTTTGTCACGGTGCAAAACGGTGTAGGAAAAAACTGCTAAACACCGTATCTAACCGGTTTAAAAGCGGTTAGAAACGTACGAGTTGCAATCCCCCTACCATTGCTACGCTCCAGTGATGATATGCATGCATGCTTGGCGGATGGTCAATTGTCTTGGGCGAAGAATGACGTTCACAACAATCGTAAATTGTCGTGGGAGTTGATCGCACGGTTTGCAGCCTAGGCGTCCAACTCATCCATTCGCTGCCAGGCCAGACATTTGATAATACCCATCGCATGGAACGCGATCATGTGTGTGGAACGGGAACACCAAATGAGTGATTGACGTGTGGCAACTTCCGCCTAGGCAGAGCATCAGCGGGAAGCCATTTTCTGAGAATTCAACACGGAGCGTAGGATTTCTCGATCCGACGGTAAAGGTGGAAATCGAAAATCGAGTCAGCTCCGCAACTCACGCTTTGTGAGAGTGGAATCGCGTTGCGACCAATACCGTTGCACAGTGTACATTCCCCATGCGCAACCCATGGATTTGAATCTCTCAGAGAATTTCTTCAGTGGCCAATTCGGTGATTCATCCTTGCTCGGGGGGCCTCGAATTACTCGAGTGGCCACCCAATTTGGTGATAATTACTCGAGTGGCCACGCCAGAGGATTTTTGCTGGCTTTTTTTCCACCGGCGCATTACCCTACGGGGCTTTGTAGCCCCGAAATTTCTCATTCGTGCGAGTGGTATCCCTATGTAGTGTTCCGTGTCAGAATGTCATTGTTCTCTAGCCTGCAGTGGGGTACTCTATAGCGAGTACAACCCCTTAGGGTTTCCTATATGTATCCTGCTGCTTTCTAGTGAACCCCCTCTCCTTCTTCATTCTAAACTTCTCTACCTTCTAATCTTTTCATGCTATCAGAGCAGGTCGATCCCCTTGGGTCGATCCTGTGGGTGGGCTCACCACCTCACTGCTTCCGCTGCTACTGCTACTCTCTGTGTCGCACGCCCCGTGGCGTGCGACGGATTTTTCATCCCGCCGCGCGCTCGGAGCGTGCGGCGGTTTTCTGCCCGCCGTGCGCCCCGAGGCGCGCGGCGGTTTTCTGCCCGCCGTGCGCCCCGAGGCGCGCGGCGGGTTTCTGCCCCGTCACTCCGCGCGTCGCTCCCGGGAGGCGCTGCGACGGGCGACGGGGACCCGCGCGTCGCCCCCCGTCGCCCGTCGTGGCCTGCGCGCAGCTCGTACAGCCTGCGCGCGGCCCGTACGGGCTGCGCCAGGCCCGCGCGCGGCCCGTACGGGCAGCGCCAGGCCCGCGCGCGGCCCGTACGGGCTGCGCCAGGCCCGCGCGCGGCTCGGGCAGCCTGCGCGCGGTTCGGGCGGCTGTGCCAGGCCCGTGGGCGGCCTGTTCTTCGCTGCCCCTGCGCTGCCCGCTGTCCCCCGTGCTTCTGATGGCGCCCCACCCCTGCTGCTGCCCGTTCTCCTGAATTAGGGTTTGGGGGTGGGGGGTATGGGGGTGCAGCTTCCGTTCACCCCCCTGCTCCTCCTCCTCCTCCGTCTCCCAGTGCTGCAGCTGCCGCTGAGGGGGGTGGACCTATTGGAGCCGTCGGAGTGGTACTAAGGGGGGTGAAGGGGGAGTGGAGCTAGGGGTGAAGCAGGGGGTGTGTGTCAGGGGGAGTGGGACTGTTTGGGGAGGTTGAACTGAGGTTGCCGTCGTGTCGCCAGCAGCACCTGTAGTCCGGGGAGTTGCTCCGGTAGCCCAGTCGCAGCCAGCTGTGCCAGTCGCCCGTGGGTCCGTTGCTCGTCTGCCGCTACTTTTAGCCGCGGAGCCAGTTACTCCAGTAGTCCGGAGCGTTGTTCCGGTAGCCGCTGTGCCAGTGTGACTCCTGTTGCCCGTGTGTCTGCAGCTTCAGCCGTCGCCTCCTATCTCCTCTCCTCTCACTCTCGCCTCCTCCTCCTCACTTGCCCTCTGCGATAGCCTCTAGCTTTGCTCATAATTGTGAACTTTAAACTATTGCTTCTTGTACTTGTGCTCAGAATGTATGGTGACATTGTGATCCACCCTGAGCTTGTTCTGCTTTGCTTGCTCTGCTGATTACACCCCACTTTGGCTATGGGGGTGTGTCAGAATGTTATTGTTCTCTAGCCTGCAGTGGGGTACTCTATAGCGAGTACAACCCCTTAGGGTTTCCTATATGTATCCTGCTGCTTTCTAGTGAACCCCCTCTCCTTCTTCATTCTAAACTTCTCTACCTTCTAATCTTTTCATTCCGTTCTGTTCCGCACCCGAAAATTTCGCCAGGCTCACGGACGCAAAAGTGGCCCGCCCACTGTACAAGAAACCGACCAACAATACATTGGCCGGTCAGTTTCAGCCAAATGCGCGACCAATGAGCGCGCGGTCAGCCTAATTCCAAACCAATCAGCGATCGAGCAAATAACTTCGCGATCATATACTGCATTTGACCCGAAACAAACCGCCACAGCAATAACGACCGCGCTCGATTGGTCAGGAAATATACGCGGTGCATTTGTTGCCACTGCGCGTCCAATCAGGTGCCATCGTAGAATTCCCGATCATATACTGAAATGATCGGGAAGTCGGTTCGCGAGAAATTAGATGACCGGGCGTGAGTGGTTTATTTTGTTCGCAGGATATGATTTGACATTGCGCGTCTAATCAAATACGTCCAAACAAAGTCGCAGACATATATTATATAAGACCGCGCAATAACCTTTATGTGCGCGCATATGTGATGATCAATTGTGTGTGCTTAGGGAGCATGTAAAACCTATTCATAAATCCCATATACATATTCTCCCGGAGTATATTTGGTACATCGTAGCTACTGTCCTCAGTTTATTTTTGCCGTTAAATCTATATAACACCGTGAACAGCTTTCATGTGGCAGGCAGAGGCGTAGGGTTACAACGCTATGCATATGTATCTATTGGCATGTCAGGATCTACGCATGTATACCATAGTTTAAGTAGAACGATTTTAAGTTCATGGATCACCCAATTTCAGTATCACCAACTGTCACAGCGTTTACTGCGTTGCTTGACCAAGGAAGGCATCGATTATGTCGTCTGTCGCCCGTGCACACGATCAGGAAACAAATTTAAGAATTAATACAAGGTTAGGAATTTCACGGGCTATGGATACGCACTACTATGACACATCAACACATCTCACCTGCTGCGGGCTCGCTTGCCAGTGCGGAGCCGTGAGACGGGGGGTTGGGATTGTTGGGTGCAGTGGGCATGCTCAAACTGTGCTGGGACTCTGTCATGCCAGCTACCCTGGCCTGAGCAGTTTGCTCAGAGGGTGGAACTTGGTGGGCTTGTGGGTCTGTTCCTTGTTGTGCCGTGCTGGGTGCAACGGCTGGTGGTGTGGGTAGGACATGCGGATAGGGTGATGTGTTCTGTGCTGCGGCATGGCCTGCAGGGTTGGGAGCAATGGGTACTGAACGGGCTGGGTGTACAGAATTAGGTGCTTGCACCTGGCTGAATGGATGGATTGGGATTTGGTTGAATGCATATGGCTGGGATGGATGATGGAGGTTGGGAGGAGGGTGGCTCTGGGTGTACGGCTGCCATCCACCTTGATTTAGGGTTGCACCGGCGTGTCCCGCAAAGGCGGCTGCTGGCTGATGGTAACCAAACGTGGCTCCAGGATGCTGGTGGAAAAAGGGGGGTGGGGCCTGTGTGTGAACTCCTGCTGCCGCTGGGGTGGAAGGCTCAGGGAGGCTGCTGAGCACTGCACGCCAGTTCCTCCACTCCGGCCACCGCTTGGCATCCACAATCCGCTCAACCCCTCTCGACGTCAAACCCTCCAAGCACCTCCTGTCCTCCTCGCTCAACTCCACCATCTTAGAGCCGGAGAGGGACGGTCGGCAGATGTGAGCGGCTGCTGCATAGGCTGTTGCGGCTTCCAGGATCTCGGTGTACCGTCCCAGCGCTAAAAACTTGCCACTAGCACTATCCACGCACAATCTCGCCGCCCAGTTACCTTCCCGTTTGCTTATACCTGTATAGCCTGAGCTAGGAGCTCTACCACGCGCAGTATTGCGACTCGTCGTCTCTGTCCCTGCACTGTATGCTGACACCAAATCCACATCGGCGTTCGAGGCTGTCAAACCATGCCCAGTACCCACGGCCTCGCCAGCACCCAGCAAGCCTCCGGCACCCTCATCACGCACCCCCACTTTCGCATTGTTACTCCTCGCACCGTCAGCCATATCACCCTTCTCAACACCGTCCGCACACTGTCTTTCACACCTTCACCCGTCTCAACGGCGGCCACAAGACCCTCTCCATGTGCCCCTCCCATGATGTCATGTGTGCCAGCATTGACCCCACCCTTGACTTCCACAGCTGCAGGTTCACCAGTTCCACCATCCCCAGCCTCATTACCATGTCCCTCCCCTGCAGCCTCACCGTCAACGCCATGCTGCGGAGCACGGGAAAGCATCAGCACACGCAATCGCCTCTCGAGCTTGGCAATAGCCACTGCTTGACCCTCATTGCGAACCTCCAGCCTATGCATCCGTTCTGCCATCTCCGCTCTCCACTCCTTATCCTCCACCTCATCACCAATCACCTCAGCCTCATGCGGTTTCCTTATCTCATTGCCAGGAGGGATCTCATGCCCAGCTGCCGTGAGCTCGCCGATCAGCCGCCCTTCTGCAAGAGCGCATACATCCTCCCGTAACCCACGTCGATACGCCAACGGGCTCATGCTGAACCGCACCCCGTTCTCAGCACCTTCGAAACACGCCTCCACAAGCGCATGAATGTACTGGCAGACGAAGATGCCGCAGTCAACATCGTTCTGCTGCAAAGGCATCTGCCACGCCTGCAATACAGCAAAGGCACATGCAGCGTTAAACAAAAAACTGACGGGAGTGTACACGTCGAACATTTGTCACATGATCTATGCAGAGTGAATGATGTCAGCTTGTGCACCGTGCAGAATACAACATTCTGCACGGGAACGCACCATGCACATAATGAATGCAGCACACAGCATAGTGGCACCATACACCCGATAGCAGTGCATTGGCTGTTTCGCCACATCGTGACAAAGGGTGCACCATGCGCATGGTTGCAGCAGGGTAACATCGGTTGCTATAACAGCATGTCAGCGCATGCATAACGATATGTTTTCGCAGTTATACGAGCGTACTACTGGTAAACACACCTCCATGACGTGTGGCTGGAATCTCCCGAGCCTCGCTTTCATCTCTTCTATAGGTCGGTTTCCATGCTCCTTCTCGAAGGCCATGCCGAGCAAGCTGTGAGGGCGTTTGGGAAGAAAGGGGACGCGGTGGAAGTTTGAATACGGTCATTTTTTAGTGCTTGTAAGGGAAATACAGGTGGCTGTCTCTAAACACTTACTTGGTCATGTTCTTGAATGCATTGCCCCCTACAGCATGCATCCCAAGGGAGTCGTACAGCAGCAACCACGCAGGCTGGGTGGCGGTGTTGTCGTCGAGCGGGAGAGTCACAACTCCTGGATTGACCACAATCATCACGCTGAAATGAAACCTGCATCGTCATCGCATTACACAACTAATGTTACAGTCAGGCAAAGCAACAACCGTAGCCATATGCTTCAATGCTAGACTAGAAACGGGATCATGGCACTTACCCCCCGTAGATTGGCATAGCCAGATAGTCGTAGCTGAAGATCGACGGCCTGGTGTCTCCACTGGCGATCTTGCACCGAGAGCAGAAGTACTCGTAACTTTGACTGTCCAAGGCGAGCCACGTCTTGCCGTTGCTCAACTTTGGCTGCCAGATGTTGAGCACTCTGCGGTGAAAGAGCGAGTACATCATATGGCACACATGTGAGACAATCGGAAGTGCGATAATCAAGACACAAGGTATAGCATGGGATTATGGGTGTATGTTGAATTACACTTACATATTATGGAAATCGATGAGCGGCTGCGTGATCGGCTGATCATCTGTGATGTGCAGAGCGTCGGCCATCGTTATCACGACCGTCATGCCGTGATGGTCGCGAATCGCATTCGTGGGGGAAAAGGGATGCTTAAACTTCCCCGCAGTAGCTCTAGACAAGTCTAGTGTATTCAGGTACGGGAGCTTTCTATCTCTGGTGATTTTCGCGATGAGATCGTCCGGGGCTACCATCGGCGTTTCAAACTCCGGCTCCATGCCATAATCGTGCGGGGCTACTTTTTTCAAAACCACCGGATCGGACGGCGTGGCGCACTGCTCCTTGTTTGTCGTCGCGTTTGCGGAGGCCAATTTTAGCCTATCACTACGACGAACACCGTCCTCCTCTCCCGATTCCACGTCGGGCGTTGACGTGCCATCACGTCTTCGTTGACGTTTCCCTCTACCACGAGCTGCACGACCTGACATTTCCACGGCCTACTCGCGCGCCGTCCACTCAATTCCAGGGGAAATATGCAGTTTGTAATAGGGTGGGGTGCTAGAGACCTAAAACGGTAGAAGTTTAGGATCCACTCCAAGCTCTATCTAACCCTAACTTTGTGTTCTGGCTGACATATCGAGAGGAATATGTCTGCCACATGACGTGGTTTAAATGGTGCAGTGGTTTGGGTTCAACTTCGAACCTCTCGCACGATTACGCGGTTATGTTTTTTCGTTTGCCAACGGTCGATGTTACGAGTGCCTTTTTTTTTACTTTCGCGCATTGTACTCAGGCGCGAATAGTTATGGTTGCGCTGTAACCGCAGGCCGGACTTTCCAAGAACATCTAAGTTGAAATGCGCATGATGTAACCTGATGCGAGGGGGGAAGACGAGCAACGCATATGACGCTCAAATGCGCGAACCAATCAAACGCAAGAACAAAAATGACCGGTCAAATTTCTAACCTAGTCAGATAAACACGAGTGCATATGTTCGGTTATATGCACCGACCAATCAAGGGCATCGAAATTGGCCGGTCTAATCCACGCGCAATCCCACCGGTCAAATCCCCGTGCAATGCATATGATTCAATCAAGCGCGTCGACCAATCAAATGCATGCCGGAATTGACCGGTCATATCGTCGCGCTAATTGATCAGGCATATCCGCGTGTGATATGACCGGCGGAATTGACCGGTCATATCCACGAGGTGTTTGACCACGCTTTAGCACGTGGTATATGACCGGTAAAATGCACGTTGAATTTGCAGGTCAAAATGTTGAGGTACGTGATGTTACGCATTGCGTGTGCATATTAGATTGTAACAATCTAAAAAATAATGGAAACGGTGTAACTAGTATTTCATCTGCTACGAAACTTATCAAAGTGAAATAAAATCACGGAACGCGTACGTGCAATTCGTGCAACCCAATTGCTGTGTTATAATCGGTTATTTGTCGATGTACGTGATTTTGTATTTTGCGCAATGTGGCCGCCTGATTCGATGCAACTCATTCATTTGTTTAACATGAATTCTATATTGATTTGTTTGTGACGCTAAAAATCAACGTGGTATAATACTTGGCCAGCTACCTAACAAGGTTGTGTCTAGCGGCTAGGGCAATCCATGGAATGTATCAAAGGTGGCCCACCACTGAACTGCTACACAACCCTATTGATTGCACCATTATATGCAATGGGCCCTCGTCATTAATGCTTGTTTAACAGAACCCTGTTAATTGCAGCCACAACACATGGAAACCCTGGTATTGCCTGAACCACAGGTAGGGTCCGGTCACATTGGTTACACCACATGGTTAAATTACACAGTTTCATTGCAATTGTCAATTGCAACCCTTGCAATGTGGTAACTCAAGTACGGTTAATTATTATCATGGTTGCATCATACCATGTTTGTGATTAAAGGTCCAACTTGGGCAGTCCGAAACTGTAGCTTTGTGTTACAATTTGACGTGAGACATAGCGAGGGATCGCTCAGGGTTGATCGCATGTGGTTTTGCTGTCAAACTTATATGCTATAGTCTGTGTAGGCTGTAGTGGGGTAGTTCATATAGGGTACAACACTTTTAGGTTTCCTACTTGTACCCACCTATTTCCTAGTTCAGTCATTCGTTCCTTCACTATTCTGACATGGTATTCTGAGCAGGTTCCCTCGTGGGAACGTTTTTTTTTTAGGGCCCACCACGATTAAAACCTTTTTTTTTTCCTGCCCTGCCCGAAGCGCGCCTCGCGCCTGCCTCACCTGCGCCGTCGCGCGCCCTACCCTAGTGCCGCCCGTCGCGGCCCTGCCTTCTCGGCCCGTCGCGGCCCTGCCCTAACGGCCCGTCGCGGCCCCCTGCCTTCTCGGCCCGTCGCGGCCTTGCCCTGTCGCCGCCTAGTCGCGGCCCCGACCTAGCCGCCTAGTCGCGGCCCTGCCCTGCCGCCACCCGCGGCCCTGCCTTGCCGCCCGTCGCGGCCTACCCTAGCCGTCCGTCGCGGCCCTACCCTGCCGCCCCTCGTCGCGGCCCCGACCTTGCCGACCGCCGCGGCCTCTGCCCTGCCGCTGCTCGTCGCGGCCCTGCTCTACCGCCGCCCAGCCGCGGCCCTGCCCTGCTACCGCCCTGTCGCGGCCCTGCTCTGCCGCTGACTCGTCGCGGCCCTGCCCTTCAGCCGCCCCAGTCGCGGCCCTGCTCTCCGCCGCCAAGTCGCGGCCCTGCCCTGCTGCCGCCCCAGTCGCGGCCCTGACCTAACCGCCAGCTGCGGCCCTGCCCTGCACCCGCCCCTGGTAAGCACCCGCGCCGCCCGGCCGAGCCGCGCCGCCCTGCCGAGCCGCAAAGCCCAGCCGAGCCGCGCCGCCCAGCCGAGCCGTGCCACCCAGCCGAGCCGCGCCGCTCTACCGAGCCGCGCCGCCCTACTGAGCTGCACTGCCCTGCCCGCACTGCTCCTGCTGCTACTGCTGTTTCTGCTGCCACTGCTGCTACTGCTGCTACTGCTGCTACTGCCGCTATGGCTAGCCCTAATGTTCTTACCTTTGATGCTGAGGGGCGTGCGGTTGACTTTGACGTGTGGGTTGACGACCTGCAGCTCTTTCTTCAATGTGACTCTAAGGACGGAGTATCCCTTTTCGATCACACGTCCGGCGTCTCTCCTGCACCTGCTGCCACTGCTGACAGTACAGTTCGCTCGCAGTGGACCACTCGTGACGCTGTTGCTCGCCTTGCTGTTCGTAGTCACCTGCCGTCTGCTGAGCGCGCGCACTTTGGCCAGTACAAGACTTCTAAGTCTTTGTATGACGCTGTCGTAGCACGCTACTCCTCCCCTGCCACTGCTGCCCTCAGCCGCCTCATGCTGCCGTACCTGTTCCCTGACCTTGCCGCCTTTGCCACAGTCGCTGACCTCATTACTCACCTCCGCACTAGTGACGCCCGCTACGGCGCTGCGCTTCCCACTGAGTTCTGTGCCAAGAACCCCCCCCCCCATGTACATCACCCTTTACTACCTAGTCACCCGTCTCCCTGACTCCCTTGCTTCAGTCAGGGACCACTTTCTCTCCCTTTGCCCCACCGAGCTCACCGTCGACCTGCTAGAGGAGCGCCTCACTGCAGCTGAGAAGAGTATCGTTGCTATAGGTGCTTCTCGCGGCGACCCTCGCGCCCCTTTCTTTGAGGGGTGTTCCCCTGTCCCCCATCTCCCCTCTGTTGCTTCTGCTGCTGCTGTCGACCTCGTTGGCACTGAGGAGGTCGGGGCTGCGTCTGCTCCTAGTGAGAGGCGCCGCAACAGCAAGGGCAAGGGGGGCAAGGGTGGTGGAGGGGACGGTGGGGGTGGCGGTGGAGGCGGTGGAGGAGGCGGAGGGGGTGGCGGTGGAGGTGGGGGTGGTGGCGGGAGTGGGGGCTTCGGTGGCGGCGGTGGGGGTGGTGGAGGCAGCGGCAGCGGCGGTGGAGGCAGCGGCAGCGGTGGTGGAGGTGGCGGCGGCGGTGGTGCTGGTCGAGGTGGAGCCGCACAGCATGGAGGCTTTGGT